TATTGGATTAGCATTTGTTGGATATGTGTAAAATTATGTGTGTTGACATATCAACTGTCTTTACATGCTTGAAAGAATAAATCAAATCAAGTAATTATGTTAATAAAAATGAGGTAAAACCAGTGCTGAGAGAATAGTGATGGAATATGATAAGGGGGACTTAGTTGAAAGTCAAACACTTCTTTAAAGGGCAAATAGAAATGTATATATGTTAGCACTTTAGGTCTGCTCTTTACTTAATACTAGTTAGTATTAGGCGAAGAGTTGGAAAGAATATGAATAGTGTATTGTGGAATGCTTTTGTAACAAAGTTATGTTGTCTATCAAAGCCTTAAGCGTTTTTTTAGTCTTTTTGCAGCATAAAATTTTGCTCTGTTGTCAGAAAGTTGCATCTCTGAGCACCATTTCTTCCTGATGAAAATGGCAGGTGGGCATTGTGGCTTGTTGTGTAGTATCTGGCATCCAGCCAGAATCCCTGTGTGTATTATGTACCTCATACTGTTACCGTGTCATTGTCATGTAAATCTGTGTGCAGTTATCATTTGGCCACTTGACATAAGGACAACAGTATTTAATTAAACTCTTATCAATTGCTTTGCAGCAACTTAATTTTTTTTATCATTGGTATCTTTTGTAGAAAGGTATTTTACTCCAGTAACCTTAATAATCTCATTAGTAATGTATTCATAACCAAATATACTTTGTCGGGTGTTTTAAATGGTCTGTATTATGCTGTAAATAGAATATTGCTGTAAGTGCCACTGTACCTTCTTTTTTAAACATGCAGTATATTAAAAATCCAATATCAATCAGGGTACAGATAACACCCCCTGTGAATTGTCTCTTTTTAGCCCAGTTAGCTCAGGATGTGCAGTGATCCAGTAATGATGCAAAGTAACAGGAAAATGTTTTTTAGAAAATGCCCCAGAGTGAGAAAGTCATAATGCAATCCTTCTATGCTTGAAACTTCATTCAGTCTCTCTCTGGAGACTGAAAGCCACTCAAGAAAAACACTGTGTTCGCTATATTATAATAACAGAATCAATTATAAAAAAAGTGTGGCCATTTTGTGAGAACACTTGTCTGACAAGTTGCCAGATCTCTGAAAGAAAATTATGTTCAACAGGTGGACACGCAATACTAAACATATAAAACATTTGAAAAAGATTAAAATTTAAATGAATGCCTTACAGGACATTATAGAATGCCTAAACATAAAGAAAGCTACTAGTCGAGAACCTTGCGTTTGGAAGCCATGTTAATATTAGTTATTAATTCTCTAAACAAATGGCCAGATATATACAGCATTACATTTTATATATTCCCGCTCAGTGCAGTGCATTATTATTCATTTGTACTTATGTCTGTGCTACCCTAAATAAAGCAGTATTTTGGCGCTGGGTTGTTCTCTACCAACTCCTCAAAAAATAACTGGGACTTTAGCTCGCTGATGTTCAGTGTTGTTCACTGCCTTTATACATCTGCCATTTGGTAGCAGTGGGGTTTTATTACAGCTTTTGTTGCCTGATATAGTTCTATCATGAAAACAAACCCTCTGAAATAAAACAAAGTTAATGAATTTCTGTTTATGTAAAATATATTCATGCACTGAACTATATCATCAAACATGAGGGTTAAGACTTAAGAGCCAGAGTAAAGTTTTTACAATGCTTTACCGGTGAGTAGCCCAATCCTTCCCTTTTATAGACTTAGTTAAAAAAAAAAAAAGATTTATGAAAAATAGATTGAAGCAGTTTAGGCTTAACTAGGCCAATGAAAAATATTTAATCAGTTTCATGTATTGTACTGCTCATTCATGTTGTCTATGTATGTGAAATGATTGGTAACTCAGGGGTCGAAGGACCACTCACCAATTTCCTATCTTGCACCCGACACAGTGTTCTTTTTCCTCCTAGCACCCATGCTGTCGAGATGCCACATACATTTCGTCCACCTGGGAGTGTCTATGTAAATGAGGGACCCTATGGGCATGTTTTGGTACACTTGGTATCTTGAGGACGCAATAAGAAGTTGCGCCAGTGACCAACAAGAAGCTGGTCTAAGTCAACAGTTTGGCATTTTAAAGGTGCTGGATCAAGTTAGTAATACGCGTGTGCACAAGGCGCAGATTTGCTGCTTGCCGCTTAGACAGGGACGCCAACAACAACACACCAAAATGCTACATATTAAAAATAAAATGTTTTCAGAATTAAAATTAATGCCCTGTGCACCAAGTTGTTCTAAAACATGTAAACAGCTGTGATTATATTATGTATCAGAATTATTTGGTCACAATAATGGTCAATGTAAATGGCAAATTGCTTGAGCAATCCTAGTTCTACACATAGGTATTTAAATTGCTCCTGTCTCCTTCCAGGTACATCTCCTGTTCTAATAGTTGCCTTTTAAAGGGAAAGGAAGATGGCATTTTGATTGGTTTATTGCATGTTACAACCAAAACACACCCATGGGTTAATTAAGAAAGTCCAACCCTTTTAAAATGGTTGCCTAACACTGATTTACTTTTTGCACTGTCAAAATTGCAAAATTGGTCTGGACACGCCCTGTATCCACCTTGACTTTGGCAAAATAGGGCCCTAGACGTTGAGCATTAATTAAGGGCTCAGCTGCTTTGAGTGACAGGCAGGAGGGTCCCCCCATAGGTGGCTAGCTGCTAACTGTCTAGCGAGCGCCGCTCACACTCCACCTCTTTGCCCCCTTTTTTTTGGATTAGCCATAGGAGGCAGAGTGAAGTACTAGCAATATGGCAACGGTCAGACTTGATCTTCAAAGCCGCTCTTCAGAAAAATGAGTGACGTCACGGTGTGTTTGTCCACAATTTATATACAGTCAGCGTCTCTTATGTGATGCAATCCAAGCCCAGAGGAAGAATTAATATTTCTGAACATCCTGTGAAACATTGTGCTCTCCTAGCAGAATGGAAGTACCTTTACTCGCAGCCTACAGTATCACTGAACAAGGCAGTCGATCCCTGTAGTGTTCATATAGCTTTACAGGCTACAGAAAATCTGGAATGATTACAAACATTAGAAAAATGATGTTTCGTAAGGGCTTGTGTCAACAAATTGAGGAGCAGCCAGAGATTTCTGTACTTGTAAACAACTGAAAAAAGATTTAGAATAAGCTCATAAAGTTTGTGAAATTGAAGACTTTGCATGTACCAGAAAAAAGTGTTTTTTTTTTTTGAGGGGGTGGGGGGATTTGGGTTAGCAGCTGTAGAATGTAACACAAAAGGAAGACAGTGCATAATCTGACTCA